TTCTCGAGGATGACTTCGCCCTCGCCCAGAAGCGATAGGGGCGCCGCAACCGCCAAGGCTCTCGTATCGTCCATGCAGCTCTGGACGCTCCTTCATCTGACGGCGCTGGTCGGCGCGGGCCATCACTTTTTTCCGAGGCTTCGGGTCGTGTGACTCGACGCCCTACTTCGGCGCTCGCCCGAGTTGAGCCAGTACTCGGCTCGGCAACCTGCGCTCTATCTTGGCTCTGATCATCACTGGCCGCGCGCGCCCGAGGTTTTCAACGTAAACGCGATGCTGCCGACGGCCTCATGCTTCGGGACGTCAATGCAGCGCTCGTTCGCGTTAAGCGCCAGGTACCACACGCCGTTTCCATCCCTTGTGTCTTATAGCGTAACTAGGCGCCTGAACCCAATGAGGTTTGAGCCCGTCACTGCTCACTTCTGCCTCGCGAGCGTGCGCAAGCTCGTTCCAGCTCTACAGAGCCTACTCGAGGCGTTTGAGTCGGCGCTTTTGACGCTGACGTCGAGATCGTCGTAGGCCGCAAGGAATGTCTTTGGTCCGACACGCACGTCGCACGATTGTTACGTTCTTCCTGCGCCTTTTGGAGCTCTCGGACCACCCGTTTGTCGTATACGGCGCCAATCTAAGCCAATAACTGAATGGATGCGCTTGATGGTATTGTTTGTCTCGAACGACGACAAAGGATATGCAAATGGCGAGAGCGATACGGAAGGACGTGGACCGCGTACAGTAGTACTGGGCAACGAGGTCGATGTTCTGCCGATGTACATTTGCGCTTTGATTGCACGCTGTCGGCAAGCTTGTGCTCCAAACCGACACCGTCTTCTGGCTGCAATGTGTTCGTAAAAATACGCATACATTCTCGCGAATTTGGATCCGGGCACCATAGACGCCGCTGTCTCGAGCCCAAAGACTACTCTCATGCTTACAACACTTGGTTTTGTATTTAAGTCGTCTACGCGAAAGCGTCCTCGAATAGATCGAGACGGCAACTCGCGAGATCGACTCTGTCCAAGCGGCCAACAAATGCATCGCCGCAGCGTTCAGAAAGTACGGCCAGGATCCACGGTGCCAGACCGCTGAGGAGTTTCTCGACGGACTCGAGGTTTTGCAGGAGAACTGCATCTGCGCCCAGTGATCTGCGCCTCACTGCTCAAGAGCCGTCGACCGATCAGAGTAGACTAGCTAAGTTAGCGTTCTATTGGTCAGTCATTTTGAAAAAAATCACTGCGTTTCCTTTCACAAAGATCACTTTCATGGGGCAAAATGGACCACTCTTAACGTTAACTTCATCACTTTCTTGGCGCGAACCAAAGTGTATACTTTGTTAAGTACGGTAGTCAGTCTTGTCGTGTGTAGGTACAGTGATTCCGGCGAGATAAGAAGAGGTCACCACCTCCCGCCCTGCATGACGGCAGCGTCTGTCACACTTTTACCTGATTAACTATGTATCATTCGGACCTCTTGAACCATATGGCCGCCCGAGAAGACGTGGAAGGCCAAGACAACAGCGAAGATCTCTTGCTTATGGTGCAAACACTCCACGAACGCGGACTGACGTGCTCGACGGTCGCTATGGACGGTGCGGCGGCCAATGGGCATCTCGACGTCATCGCCTTCCTCCATGCGCATCAAAACGAGGGCTGTACCGTCAACGCCATGGATGAAGCTGCTACCAACAGTCATTTGGAGATCGTCCAGTTTCTCCATTTCAACCGACCCGAAGGCTGCACGGTCGGCGCGCTCGATGGCGCCATTTGCTCAGGCCATCTCGACATCGTCCGCTTTCTCATCGAACATCGCACCGAAGGCGCGTCGCCCACCATCCTCGACGACGCTGTCGTCGGTGGTCACCTTGATATCGTGGAGTGCCTCCATCATCTCGGCACCTTTGGCTGTACCGTCGCCGCCATCGACGACGCAGCGTCACATGGCCACCTTGATGTCGTGAAATTCCTCTTGACGAACCGAACCGAAGGCTGCACCCACGACAACGTCGTTGGAAAGGCGCTCGAGTACGGACACTTGCGCACGGCAGAGTACCTCCTCTCCATCGGGTACCCGTTCCCGATCTCGATGACGCTCAAGACCATTCAACCTACGCTTTTCAAGACGGTTGCCGTGTTTCGCAAGCCCGAGATGGTAGACGTTGTACGTCTTTACGTGGCTCACGGCCTACCCTGGGGCGCCAACTGCATGCACGAGGCCTCGGTCGCCAACAACCTGCCGTTGGTCAAGTTTCTGCACGAGAACTCGGACGGTCAATGGGACCCCGCCGCGATCGACGGCGCCGTCAAGAAAAAGGCGTGGGACGTTGTGTTCTACCTCATGGCCCACTGCCCCATGGACATCTCGATCGACGCGCTCCGCTCGGTGCTTGCAAGCGGCCATCTCAATGCCGCGATGCACATTCTGCAGCGCCGGCCCGAGCTCCGCGACGATACGCTGCTGGAAGCTGCCTCGACCAGCCACAACACAGAGGCGACCCGACTTCTCCTCGCCGCAGGCATTGGTAAGCCACACGACTGTCTCCGCAAGATTGCAGGTCGTCGACAGCATATGACTGAGAGCAACCTTCTGCTGCCGTACTGCATGGACGCGACCAACCATTTGGACAACGCCATCTTTCTTCTCTTCCTCTTTCGGCAGCAGAACCGCCGCCGCGCGACGATCGTTCGTTTGATTATACAAGAGCTCATGTACCAAGTGCGGCAGGCCAGCAAAGCCATCCAGCTCGCACCCGACGTGGCGGCGCGTGCGGCAACTCTGCTCCAGGCGGGCAAGGTTGTCAGCTGGGCTGCGGCCCTCGTTCTCCGGGTCTTCTCTGTGCGACAAACGCGAAGGCCGCCACCATCAACGACGTTGATCAGTGACGTCAAGCACAAGTTGAAGCTCCCACGCCTGCTCCAAAGCAAACGCAAGCGCGCATAACCTTAAACGATGCATGTTTCTCAAGCATGGTGTTTCGAAAAACCAAGGAGTCGTACGTACTGGTGTATTCGAACCCGTTATCAGCTCCTAGTACTACATAGTGGTCACTGTATAAAAGAAGAATTACAGTCCTAGCTCGTGCTTATGTATTCAAAGTGAGAATGGATTCAAAGTGAAGGTCAAACGAGTGTTAGCGACGGCAACTGACACGGAGCGTGACGCAAACCTCGCCTTCGGGTAGCTCTGGTGTAACATATTCGTTCCACTCGAGCTCGAGCTCCGGCAAACCGTGCAACATGACCTCAAAGTCTTCCCGGGCAAGATGGGCCTCGCGCGCGACGGCCTCACCACCAAGCTCGACGGACGGTTCGAGCACGACCGAGACGCCGGTGCAGGTCGTGAGCGCCTTGAAGAGCATCACGTACTTTTCATGGGTGAACCCGTTGTCGGACAAGTTGATGTCAATGCCCGATGGACTCGTCGCGCCACGGAGGGCTCGCACCAGATGGTCGGGGAAGCCGTCCATTGCGTCGCAGCCAGCCAAATCGATTGCGCGAACGCCGTTGCGGATCCAGAGCGGCAAGTTCGACAAGATCACATCGCCAAAAGTTGTATCGTCAACAAAGCAATCGCGCCACGAGAGCGTCTTGAGGTCGAGTACGTTGGCGAAAAGCGCGCCGAGCGCAGCGGCGGCATTCGACGAAAACTGAATGTCCTCCATCGTGATCGACGTCAGAGCAGACGAGGAGGTCATGACAGCTGGAGGTAGCTCGTCAACGTCGAACGCGCCGCTACAAATCTGGAGCTCGTTGAGGGCCGAGAGGTGCGGCAGCGTGTCCAAGACAAAGCCGATGTTGTCGCTTTCGTCGCTGCACGTGACCGAGAGTCGTCTCAGCTTGGTCGGGTCGACGCGGTCCAGAAGGCTCTTGAAAAAAGGCGCGTCTTGATCGACACGGACGCACAAGGTCGAGAGGTTCTGGAAGCGGGTTGTGTGCGTGTCGACCGGCGGGAGGGGCTCGGCGCCGTGAACGAGCACGTTCAAGCTCGAGAGGGAGCTCGCAGCGGCGGCAACGAGCACGTCCGCAATGCTTCTGTTCTCGCCGCTCTTTTCGACGTCGTACTGGATGCCAAGGTGGTCGGCGTGGCCAGACTGCAGCCAAGGCACGAGATTCTCGGCCCAGTTGTCCTCGGCGCGATCGCTTGCGACGCTCAAACGACGGACGGAATGCTTTGGTGTCGTGACCGCCGCGACGATGGCCATGTCGTAGCCGGTGTTGCCCACGGAAACGACGTCGAGACGTGTGCTCTGCCGAAGAATGTTGCAGAGCGTGACGACATTCTTTTCGTTCTCGCACGGGTACTTCGAGTCGATCTTGATATGCGTAAACTTCTCACCGTACGAAGCGACGAGCTGTGCCAAAACGTCCATGCTGGGCGACATGTCCTTCCACAAGTGCAGGCTGCCGACCTCAAAAGAGTTGTAGATCGGCATGGCGTCAATGACGCGCTTCACGTCAACAACGTAATCCAGCTGAAGCCGAGGCCACAGCATCGTCAAGGCCGTCGCCTCGTCACGAGCGTCGCGCAGAGCCTTGAGCGGATCTCGAAGGAGCTCCGAGAGCGCTTTCAGCGGGCCACAGCGCGTGGTGGCCGAGATAGCGTCGAGGAACGTTGAGACATCTTCTGCAGTCGTGGTAAACTTAACGATCGCCATGAGTACGTCGTCCTTGTCGACGACCCTCGTTGGCGACCCGACTCGACGCTTCTCGCTGCTCATGCTCTTGATCTGCTGGACGACGCAATTGCGCAACTCGGACGATCGCACCTTGTGAAACGTACGGGTGTACCACATCTCCAACAAATTGAATTTGCACTTCCATGCGCTTCAAGGATACAGACATCTTCTGCGTTAATTGACAACCGCGTTAATTGACAAAAATAAGCCCGTGTTCAGTATACCAATACAAAATATGTGTTGTGTTACAAGCAGAACTTGTTATCTTGCATTCAGTATTTACATAGATATACCAAGTAGGATTACCAACGCCACATGTCGTTCCAGGGCCTATCGTACGGCTGGCATTTCTCCAAAATGCCCAACACATGGGTAAAATCCCACGCTTTTCAGATCTTTTGTCAATAAACGCAGAATATGTCTGTACATGTACTCTGAAAGCTACTCATGTACTGTGCGCTCCAAATGATTACAGTATATCCATCTGTCGACCGTGGTGATCTTTCATGACTGAAACGTGACGACATTTTCGGGCGATTGTGCAATGCGAGTACGGTCTTGGGTCGCTTCTTCATGACGTATTTCTGGCATGTGTGAAAGAACCCGCGCCATCGCAATCGACGGGAGCCCATTGTTTATGACTGACCGCTTCCAGCACTGTCGATCGCAACAAACTAACTCGGCATGGCATCGTGGTGCATGTAGATTCATCATCGGTCCAGTTTGAATCCCACTCTATTTTCGCGCCACGAAGTCGGTTTGTACAAGGAAAATTGCTCTGTATTATCAAGGTATCTGATTATTGACCCTTGGTATTATCATCTTACCGAAAACAAAGCATCCGGGCCTTGATGCGAGACGATACTTGTCCATTGCTTTGGTTAGCTATCTAGTACAACACAACGTTGCTACAAGGCGATGGCACTGTGCTGTTTCCGGTATCGGAATCACAACACAAAACCGTGCCGCTTGCAAATAGGTGAGATGTAGCTAGTACCACATCCTCCCGAACAGTGCTCGCCTTCTGCCCATCACGAACGCGTGGGATGTGCATGATCCGATCCACTGCTCGAGCCAGCCCGCCAGTCTTCCTGATGCGACAGCAAGTACCGGTAAGGTAAAGTGGCGATTGACCGACCGATTTTTTGTCGAAAACGAGGCCTTACTTCAAAATGATATTTCTCGACAACCAATGCAGCTACGAGACATCTGAAGGCATCACAAGAAAGAAGAAGGCTTGCTCTGTATTTTAGAGCCCTTGCCTTCGCGCCGTCGCGTGATTCCTGATTTGTGGGGAATTTAAAAGTCGACGCATCGAAAAAGCGTCAGAATTGGATGTTTCTATTGACCGACCGATTGGCTTGTACTTTCTGTTTGTATGCATTCTAAAAAACTGTGAATTAAATCACGTTATTTTCCTACTTCAAGACTGCTCGGCGTTTTTTGTGTGGAAGCGATGAGACGGTAATTAAAATACGATTATTTTTAATGGCACAGCGCATGCTGGCATATTAATACTGTCGTATTAATAATTATTCCTTGGACATCGTCAGACTTCATTTTCTTCAGCGGCGGCGCGGCCACAATGGTCATGGGTCAATTGACCCATGCAATGGTCTACCTCCACACGCGTGCCATGTCGAGTCCGTCGCGGTGCGCTGGCGCTCACGTACCCTCGGTGCCGGAGTTTTGAGAGGTAGAACAAACACCGCGGTACGGGCGAGCTCATGTACAGTACCTTGATCCACCCACGCTTCGGTGCCGAGGGTCGACCGCACGCCGTTGACCGCCTGCTCCTCCACAACAACGATATCGCCCGTTTGCTTCATCATCTTGCTAGTAGCGCTTGAGCTGGGAGAGGCTCAAGGGTGAGCTGCGCTCTATTGTGGCAATCTTCTCGCTGCCGACGAGGTGACGGTCAACCGTGAAACGAGTGCGTGAAGCAGCAACTCCCGACGTCGGTCGGTGGCTTCCTCTACGATGCCGTCGCTCTGCCGCTCTCAGCCCACAAGTCGACCATCCGTGCCCTCTGGCCGATCTTGCGCGCTTGCGTTTGGTACAGTCTTTGGCTAGAACGCAACAACTGCGTGTTCCGCTCGACATTGATGCCCCTTCCCGCTGCTGCGCTCGCGATCAAAGCCGCTACAATCACGCGACTGCATATCCGGCACTTGGCTCGCCGCGCTGTGGTGCCTTCGCTTGCCGAGTCGCTCCATGCCCTACGCGCCGATCCTTGGTGTGCTCGCTACCTCATTCCCAACTCAATCCGGAGCCCCGACCACGCGCCCTCAGCTTGACGTACCGGCCAAACCTCACGAGCGCACTAGGAAGTCCACCATCTTCGCTATATAATTGCATGTTAATAACTCATTTCAACAACAGCAAGTAGCGTCGGCAGCAGAGTGATCGAAAGATGCTGCATGGCGCTATGTTGCACCAACCCTTCAGCTCTCGTCCAAATACAACGAGGAGCCATTCGACCGCCGTTCGACCCCACTCGACAATGTGCTCGACGCGCGACAGAAAGTAAATACGTACCACTTGGACTTGGAACTGCAGTATCACCAACTTGGAGTTGAATTGCTTTTGGGCATCATTGCTGCCGAACAAGCATCGATGTACGATGCTTCTGCTTCTTTTTCGCCGCTTACGAATGCGATGCTGGGCCCTTGTGTGATGAAGAATACGCTTCCAAGTCCGCCATGGAGGTCATCATCACCTTGAGTACGAGCTCGAATCGCGGCTCGTTCCGGTTGACGCCAATGACCTCCAGCGCACGCTTCCGCCGCTGAGAATCGGCCTCAAGGACTCGCTCGCCAAGTCGTTCCATAACACATGACATGACAACAGCGTTTCGCCTTGTACGACGCTCGAGTGGGGCAATAGACGGCTTGATTGACCGCAAGTCATTGGGAGTGGCGTGGCGGGTTAGAATCGACAAGGCTAAATGCAAAATGACTAGCCTACTGTCGACTCTTCGCATCCACTACTTCATCTCCGTGTGTGTCGCCAAGGGATATATATCCCTAGGTGTCGCAGACGGTTTGGCAATATCGCGATGACCATGTCGCCGGGCAGCGCACGAGAGCTACAAGGCGTTGGCGTGCGACGATAGAATGGCGTGGTGAGGTTGAGAGCTCTGCCGCAGCGATATAAAGGACCTCCAGGCCTGCGATGAGGCGGAGCGATCAGAGGCCGTCGCAATTCGCAGCACCGTCTCGGACGCTCGCAAATGTCATGCATCGCAACGTGCTTGGTGGCGACCACCTTTGCCACACCGCCGCGGCGTGGGTACTGGCGCTTCACGCGCGAGCTGCTCAGGATCGAACGCCACAAGGTCCAATAGGTGGCGGCGACTGAGCATCTGCATCGCCTCCGAGTGCAGCTTGCCGAGGGCGCATAGTCAACATTTGCTTGCCCAGCCCTTGGACTTTCACACGAGCGTCCACGAACATGGCTCGTCCCACTTTTTCCGTCGGCCAATCAAACGTTCGAACCCCGAGTGGCGACAGAGTATCCGGATATGCCGGATTGCTATCATTTTGGTTTTTGATCGCTGCTGCGCAGCACGATTCGGCAGTGGCGGACGTTTTCGGCACGCAGCTGGTGCATTCGGCACACATCGCGGGCCAATTCGGCACAGATGTGGTCCTGATCGTGGCATGTGCCAAGTTGTTGTTGAAGTGGGTCCATGAGATGTGAGGCTCATGAAGTGGACGTTGCGTCTGTGGAAGGGACCGACTGTGTCATTAGTCGCTAAGCACAGAGGCCAAGAGGACCCGACAGAGAAGGGAGCCAAAAGCAAGTGTGGATGTGGCATGTGCCGCAAGAAGAGACTCCGCTCATTGGTCGGATCGTGACATTGCGAACTTTCACGGGATGACCAGCTTGGCCATACAACCAGAGAGAGTCATTTGCATCTCCGCATGGACATATTGGCTGCCTTGTTCATCGAACAATACTCTAGTACATCAATACACAATCCTCGCGTGCAAAACTGGTGGCCTAAAAGTTAGTAGCGCTAGTCGAAAACGAGATGCGACTAAGCTTACACTTGGAGCGCTTGAACCTACTCAACCATTATGGTATCGCTGCGAATAAAACACTCTTCTGTGGATAGCAGATCGTCCAGCGACTGTTCCACGTCAGCACATGCTCGTGCAGTAGTAGAGTGGTGCAACACGGTTTTTCTGTACTGCTCACGCCAGCTAATACTGGTGTGAACTTGCACCAGCAGCCACGTCTGCGACATTGGTGATCGTCATGCATGACAGTGTGCTTTTTGGTGGTGACGGCCGAGACGCCAACCACGTAAAACCCTTATAAACGGATGCTATCACTCGACCCGCCACGTGGTACTCTCAAACTCAATTGCACACGATTGCGACCAACTCGGATTGACTGTGAGTTGCGCGCTCACTTTGCCGTTGCCTGAGTCAAGAGCATGAGCGTACAGCGCCTTCCAGGCGCATGCACCTCATGGCACCGTGTGTAGAAGCGAATGACGCTAAGCGAGGCAGTTGCGAGCGGTGACGCGACCGTCGTGCAGAATCTGCTGCAGGACGGCGCCGACGCCGACGCCCGAGAGGAGGTGCGTGGATCAAGAGAACGTTATACATCCTCTAACCTCGTGGCTGCTATGTATTACCTATAGATGGAGTATCCGATGCTGGCCGTGGCGGCGTTGCGTGGCCACACGCTGGTTGTCGCGGCGCTTCTCGAGGCGCGCGCGAATGTTCACGCCATGACACCGGTGGGTCACTGCTCGAGCTACCGAACACGAGTACGACTCGAGAGCTCAATCGACGCGTAGGGCGGCGCGACTGCACTCCTTCTGGCGGCTGGCACTGGTCACGCGGACGTTGTCACCCAACTTTTGACGGCAGGCGCAGACATCAACCATTGCCAACCGGTGCCTTGACTGTCCACCAACGTTCATGGCTCATGCGATCGATGTTTCCTAGTCGGGAGCCACCGCGCTTATGAGCGCGGCCAACGCCGGCGATGTAGCTGTCTTGCAACAGCTGCTCCAAGCCGAAGCCAACATCGAGCTCCTTCCTTGGGTACGTACATGTTCCATCGACGTATCCAACCGTTGACGTCTCCTCCACTTTAGAATGCCATGACACCGATCATGGCAGCTGCCCGAGCCGGCAGTGAGGCGGCTGTGAGCCTCTTGCTAGCCACCAAGAACAATGTTGCCGCACTCGACAAGGTACTTTTTCGGTCATCCAGCTTTCTAGTATCCATGTGTGTTCTAGTTTGGATGCAATGCAGTGCACTACGCAGCATCCAACGGCCATGACTCCGTGATTCTCATGCTCAAAGAAGTTGGCGCGGAGATCGACGTCGTCTCATCGGTGCGTTGGAAAACCGATAGACGACCAAGCTCGGGTCGGGCGGCCAAGCCGTCGTGCACCGCGGGACCTTCCAAGGTCGGGATGTCGCCATCAAGACCGCCATCAAAGAGGCCACGCACAGCGCAGATACGATACGTGCAGAAGCCAACGCGATGGCCAAGTAGTTCCAAGTTCTATTTTCGCTGTTGCTGAGGTCGGCGACCGTAGGTGCCCGTCGCCTTTCCTCGTGTCGTTGGTCGCCGTGGCGGACCGCGCGTCACCAATGCCGGCACTCTTGCTCGACCTTATGGACTTCGGGAATCTTCGAAGCTACTTGGACGAAAAGCACCGACGACAAGAGACCTTTCTGCACGTGACCAGCCTCGAGGTGGCGTGGGTCGTGGCCAACGCGATGAAGGCATTGCATGCCCTCGGTATTGTGCACCGGGACATCAAGAGCGAGAACGTGCTCCTGAGCTCGACGCACTACATCAAGCTCGGGGATCTCGGCATCGCCAAGGTGGCCGCCACGTACATGACGGACGGTCGCGGCACGATACGGTGGACGGCGCCCGAAGTGCTGCGCGTTGATGGCCAGCGCTACGGTACCGAGGCCGATGTTTACTCGTTTGGTGTGCTCCTCTCGGAGCTTGACACACTCCAGTTGCCGTTCGACGACGCCACGGACTTGAAGACGGACTATCTACTCAAGCAGGCAGTCCTTGCGGGTCGCCGGCCGACGTTGACCAAGTCGTGCAAGCCCTGGCTGCGCGACCTTGCGACGCAGTGTCTCAACGCAGAGCCGTCCAAGCGTCCAACAGCGAGCAAGATCGTCGAGATGCTTGGCAAGCAGGTGGCTGAAGGCTCGGCAGCCGACGTGCGTCCTTTCTGCACACACCAAGGCTCGCTACATTGCTGTACATAGGCGTTGGAGGCGTTCAGGCGCGCGGTTGCCGTGGACGCCATTGCCTTGGTGCAAGCCCAGCTTGAGGATGGCTTCAACCCCAACTATTCCGTGAAGGTACTCGACTTGTTGACCGACGTTACCATGAACGTTGATGACAGGGTGACGTGTTGCCTCTGTCGATGGCAGTGGGACTTCGTAAATACGACATTACGCAGCTCCTTCTCGATCACGGTGCCTTGCCTGACAGCTACTGCGTGCGCTACCACTCACCCGTCGAGACATTTCATATGGTCTTATTTTGAACCGCGTAGTATGGTGGCACCCCTCTCCACGAAGCCGCCGGCGAATGCTATACCAGCGTTGAGATGCTGATCAATGCGGGTGCCAACGTCGACGCACTCGACAAGGTGCTACATCCCTACGATATCTTTACACGAAGAACTCACCCATGCGTAGAAGCATCGCACGGCGCTCTATTGGGCGGTCAAGCGCAACCACGAGCTGAATATGCGCATTCTCTTGGACGCAGGCGCCAATGCAGCGATCGCCAACAAGGTAATCGTGTGCTCGCAATTCGAGGCGTGTCGAGTGCGATATATCACAGGGCGGCAAAACACCCTTGGCACTGGCCATGTCAAAGGAGCACTTAGTGCGTCTTGCGCCTGTCCTGGAAGGCGCGGTGGCAGCGGTAGGCGTGGACTCCCACCGATACTCTCACGACACTATGTACTTAGCAAGCCACGTCGGACAGCATGCGCCTTTGCCCAGACTGCAAATTGGTCTGGCATCCCATCGACGCGGCCTGCTCATGTGGGCACGACGCCCCCATGGACGAGAAGATCCAGTGCGCGGTGCATCGGCTCATTACATCGCACCACCGAGGCGTCCTAGTTGACTGGACGCGCAAGTGCGTCCCGTGTGGCCACAGCTTTTTCGTGCTCAAGACAGCGTGCCCGATGTGCAACCACAAGCCATCCGCGCTCGCAAACCCGCTCGGGGTGCTTTTAAAGCGTCTCAAACTGGCGCCGACCACGCCCGTGCGTACAACGACACAGAGTGTCTTATCCCTGAGAGTATATGATGTGTAGCCCAAGCAGTCGCCAAAGCTGGGTCATGTTGTTGCTTGGCTGCGGCGCGTTGAAGCCGAGAAGAAGCGCGCCGCCAAGGCCAAGCTCGACAAAAGCAACGCTGCGTACAACCACTTCAAGGTACTCCCATATGCGAATGACAGGCGTCATTAACATGTGGCAGGCGCTTGTGGGCGCGATCCAGGAAGGCAACCTGGAGAAGCTCAAGGCATTGCTTGGCAAGTCCGTTCCGCAGCAGCAGAGCGATGTCGTATGGCCCATACATATACGACGCGGCACAATATCTCACGACTCTATGTTTGCTTGCACGCAGGACGGCAACTCGCTGGTGCACCACGCCGTCAAGCAAAACAACCTTGCGATGCTCAAAGTGCTGCTGGCGACACCAGGCGTCCCGATCGACCACACCAATACCGTTCGATTCCTTCCTCATCGAGCTGTGATGTACTTACGTGTCCTGTGCTTGGTAGTTGTACGAAACACCACTGGCCGTGGCCACCTTCTCTGGCGCTTGCGATCTGGTTCGCGCACTCTACGCAGCGCTACACCCGTCCAGCGTACGTGCATCGAAGCTACCATCGAGGTCGTCCAATCGTGATTTATGTATATATCTCGCTAGGCGCCAACAAGCGATGCAGCAACGTCAGAATCGCATTTGGCCGAGGCAGCTGCTCACGGCACATGTAGGTTCACCTCGCCGTATGTGTTGCCCATGCGCCCTGACGCGATGCTAATGACCAACATCCTCCGCTACAAGCTCGAGATGCAAGTCCCGGGGTCGCGACTCGAAGTGTGGCCAACCAAGTTACAGCTCGCGATTGTCGCTGCGAATGCCCTCGCGGACCTCCACGCGGCTGGCCTTGTCCACGGATCGTTCTCGAGCTTCAGCATCTACATCAATCCGCCTGCGACCTCGGTTCACGTCATGTACCCCGGTTTTGAGCCAGCCAATGTATCGTTGGCGCTGTGGACGGCACCTGAGGTTCGCGTCGCGCAGCAGCCACCGTCTTCGGCGTCCGACATGTACGCCCTTGGTGTCTTACTCACGGAGCTCGATACGCTTGCCATACCGTCGGCGCACGTCGGGCGCCTTCGTGACGACTGCGAACGCTGGTACGCCGACATGGTCGCCTCATGCGTCGCCGAAGATCCAGCGACGCGAATGTCGGCTGCTGACGTGGTTGCGCAACTGCAGCCCCATGTCGATGCAGCGACACAGGAAGCCAAGGTATTCCTGCGCGCAGATAATGTGCTGCCTGCTCAAGTATACGGTAGATGTTTGAAGCCTTTCAAGCGGTGGCGCTTCCATTGCAGATCGACGCCGCGACAAAGCTTCTGGACGATGGCCTGCGCCCCGACGCAGTGTGTCCCTGGGTACAGTACCGCAATCCATGTGGCTTTGGCTAACGAAGCGAGTGATGAAGAGCACGCAGAGCCTGCTATGCGCGGCCATCAAGTCTATGTCGTTGGAGCTCGTGCACTTGGTGCTGAAGCGTGGTGCTGACGTCAACAAGCCACTGGTGTGTTCCACGCAAGTGTGCAACGCGCTCACTTGATGCATGTGACTAGGACTTCTTTGGCTCGGCGTTGCTCTTTGCAACCAGCAGTGTGTGCAGCCACGACATTGTCGCCGCCTTGATCGCAGCCGGCGCCGACGTGCACGTCACCCAACCGGTGCATGCGTACATGACTCCGAGCCATGCTGGCAACACGCCGCTCATCAACGCGGTGTATTTTGGGTTTCCTCAAGTCGTTGCCGCGGTTGCCTACGCCGACCTTACGACATTGCTGGCGCGCAACAAGGTGCTTGCGGTACCATGTAGCAGAACTTGACGTATACTGTTCTCGTAGGATGGAGAGACGGCGCTCGAGGTCGCTCTTCGATTGCGCGAAGCTAGCCTTTATCTGGATGCGCGCTACATGCTCAAACAGCCTGTCGAGGTGACTGCGGTGCTTGAAGACGCCGAGTGCTGGCGATCGATGCTTGTCGCTCGCGGCTTGCCCATGACCACGGCACGCGGCTGTGCCGACTGTGGCACGCCCTTGTCGATCGAGGACATGCAGTGCCGCAAGATGACGTGCGGCGTCAGCAAGGCTGCCCAGTCGATCGTCTCGAGCACCAAAAAGTTTTTCTCCGCTGCGCTCAAGTAGGCAACACGCAACACAAGCAGACAGTCGAAATACGCGAGCATCCAGCAAAATCAAGTTGGAATCAATATATCAAGTGTATGCTATCTCGAGTCAAGAAGGGGTGTTCTTGTCGACTTCTTTTAGTCTAGCGGTTTAGACACTGGTTTACCACCAGGTAGATCCGGGTTCAAGTCCCGGAGAGAGCACCACTTTCTGATTGGTTATGAGCCCAATATACGCATTTCTCATGCGCGTATCCCATATTCTTCCTCACTCTCATACTCAGTAGTACACTCTCCTCTGTTACACGGGCGCGGTCAGACGGCAGATGGCTTCTTGAGATGACACTCTCTCTTCTCCTCACTCACTACTCCCACCCACTCTCTGAGCCAGGAGTGCGCGTCTGGAGCGTCGAGATTGGGGAGGCAGTCAAGAAGGGGTGTTCTTGTCGACTTCTTTTAGTCTAGCGGTTTAGACACTGGTTTACCACCAGGTAGATCCGGGTTCAAGTCCCGGAGAGAGCACCACTTTCTGATTTCTCGAATGCTTGCCTCGTCGACGAGGGCGGTGTGGCCGCGATGGTAGAGTCTGCTCGTCTCGTTGACCAGCGAGTTATGACACAATGCATCGACATGCCACGAAGTGAGCATCAAGCAGACATCAGTAGGGCTTGAACGCACTCTGCAAATGGTCTGAGATACCGTAGTGCAGTTCTTAACCCTATTGGAGGTTCCATACATCCCCTATATTAAGGAAATTTATACAATTTTCAAGTATAAACCGACGGTGACAGTAGAATCTACTGCCACCGTTTTTGCCTTCAGGCTCCTTTGTCATTGATTTTGCGACACGCCAAATTCGGTGGCAGTAGAATCTACTGCCACCGTTTCCGTATGTTGGCTCCACGGCGCTCGAATTTTAAAAAGATAGCCAGAGTGTCCGGAAAAATAAACCGCCCTCATTGGATGATGACGACTGACGAGGCAGCGTCGACGCGCTACGACGGATTGCACGATGGGTCATGTTCAAGATTCCAATCAGTGGCCCACAACCATCGACACGGACTCCTATCGACACCACCACTTTCGACAGCTCTATCGACACCGGGGGCTGCACCAACGGCGCACACTGATCCGGTCGCCTCGCTTGCGCCCGACGTTGCGCTCGACGCAGAGGCGCGTGGCCGCACTGTACGTGCTCACAAAAGCGTCGGCGACGATGTGCCAGCGGCTGGAGCCGAGGCGCGTCTCGGTCGCATACAAAACATATTCGCGCACGTCGGCGTCGATCGCCTCGTGCACGACGTTGGCGCGGGCGAGGGTCCGCGCGCGCTCGGGCTTGGGCACGCCGTTGTAATAGGCGGCATTGGCCTACTTGCCTGCGTCGGCGTACGCTGTTTGCCGGCCGACGACCGCCCCAAAGAGCGACACGAGCGAGGCTTGGATAGACGCATTGCCCGTCAGCACCGTGATTGCCGAACCCCGCTGCCGAAAGCATTCATACCCCTAGTAATTTAACACGATGGTCTACGATTGTAAGCTGAAGGATTATAGATATAGTGGCGTCGCTCCCAACGTCGTCGCAGGTCTTGGGAACTTGTGCAAGCGCATCTCGGAGCCCGTCGCGTGGCCGACGCGCGAGAGGCCGTCGAAAAATTTGGCCAGGGCTCCGCCCTATGGCCGCATCGGTGGCTCGTCACGGATTCTAAAGCTGCGCCACGCCTACATCAACGTTGCATGAGCCCGCTGTTGGGACCTCGTGGCAGTCTACCATTGGGCCAAGCTCTGGCCGTCCGCTGATTGGACGCCAGACTGGCCAATGGGCGCTGCTCCAATGTATTGGCCCAGCAGTAGCTTGTAAAAGCTCATCGAATTCAGACTTTGTTTTGCCTTTGAAGAGTGGTGCATCCTCCTCAAGCGCAGAAGCTCGTGTCGGTGGTCTTCCAACCCCGACGGCACAACACCCGCGGCTTGCGCACGGCTTGCCACATACGTGCTTGATTGGTGAGTGACGTGCGGCCGACGTACTTTTTTGCGGCAACCGTGAGCCCACGACAATACCTGGACGAGATTTGTCGAGACAAGCGTACCATGGACCTCGACTGTTGAGCCATGCATCGGATCGACTTGTGCCGCGAGCGCGTCGGCAACCTTATCGGCAGCAGCAAGTGGCAAACCGAATGGACGAGCGCCATGAGTCGCGAAGCATCCAGAGCGCCGTCTCCGGCTGCACGAACTCCTTCACCGTTGCTCATGTAAGTCCCCCATCGTACTGCTTGGCAACCGACCAATATGCAAAATAACACACATCAGAAGCGTATAATAAACTGGAAGCATGCACCAAAACAGGATAGCATGAATCCACTTTTGCGTGCATGCGCTCTGCCCCTTGTCACAACTTCACGCCACGGAATATCGCTCGTATTTGCGCTCGGTGTCGGACGCGAATAGCTCCAACATCCAGCCCATCGTGTGCAAGCGTCCAAGCCCATGTCGAAGACGCATGCGTTGGATGGACGAGGCCCAAGCCAGTTGCGCACAAGGCGGGACACACCGCCCTGGAGAAATGTGGTCGTCTGGCACTTGTCCTCGGCCTTGACGCGATCAAACATGATGGGCTTGGCCAGCAGCTTGACGGCGATCGCCTAATCCAGGAGATAATCAAGTAGTGTGGTGGGAGGAAGAGCCGCTAGTTCGGTAGTAGGACGATGAGCGGCCACGCGTTTTGCCGGCGTCGACGGTCGCGGCAACAAGCAAACGATCTCGTCGTGCTGCAAGGTGCCTTTGCTCGAGACAAGCGGGTACTTTCACCCGTCGTCTTTGAGAACCGAGCACCGCATCTGCACGCGATGTTAGCTCCATCACGTTGATGGCAGCATGGACGCACCTGGATCGGCTCGCTGCGTTGCGCCGCGGAGTTTTAGCCGAGGACAGAGAACACCCTAGAACGATCGAAGAGCAGGTCCATGATGACGACGAGCTCGTGTCCATATTTTCTGTCTATAGAAAGACATGAGAATCTCATTACTGTGAGGAGGAGGAAACACGCACGCGAGGCAGAGGTTAGCGTCGGTTTGGCGGGACGAATACGAGTCCTTCGAGATCTCCTTTGCGCGCCCGTGTTGATCGCTTTGCAACAAACAACACTGCCCAAGACTTGTGCCTACGCTCGCCGCATGAGTCCCTGCAAACCGTGGTCGAGGTCGCCGTCGAGCGTCCGATGGGCTGGATGATCTTGATGGCGCATCTACAAGCACGGTAAG